CATTTGAGCGTCCATCTTGGCGTTGACGTAGCTCTTGTTGACATCGAACTTGTCGTCGTGGATGTAGACTGAAGGAGATGTGTCGTCCCTATACATCATGGCACCAGTGCAAGTAGTAAGTGCTAAAAAGGAAAGAACAATATCAAGTTACCTTCTCGGCTCTGTGGATGACAAGGATAGAAGATTGTCCAATGTGTACTAATAGAGCAAATATGGTATTGATAAGTGTTCCCGAACGCACCCACAACTCACAACAAGGTTATATGTGGAGCTCGGTAAGGGATTACTGGCACAAAATATCAAGCAAATTGAAGTTCAAGGTATTGTAAATGTTGAAATCAATCCAAAGGACTCAAAATGGAAAGCAAGTGATCACTGAAGTAGAGGAGGGCAACAAAGAACACATGCGGTGGGATAATGAGACTTGTGCAACTATAGAGATGAGCAATACAAAATTGCCTAACTAACCGAAAAAGGCTTTCGCCCCGCTTTATATATAAAGCAATGATCATCCACAACCCGGTACAAACGCACGCCACCACAACACACGCACACACCCAAGGCAGGATACATAGGCGCTGATCGCAGCAACACCACCCCTAGCACTACAAGAGCAACCGGGGTCCTCAACCGTGAACACGCCACCTTGAAGAGATAGAAGCCGCATACGACGAACCGTGGGTCCAAGGCGGCGCCTTCAAGAAGGTTACGACACCGGAGCGTCGCCACCGCCTGACTTGAGGATCAGTGTTTTCCCTGGAGCAACACGACGGGTAAGGCAATGAGAGCCGCGACGACGCCTTCAATAAGGGAACGAGCTTCGCTGTCGCCTGTCCGTCCGAAGATCGAATAGGTTTTCACCCCGGCCAACACTCATCACCATTGAACGCCAACCCCGTCGACCATGCCGCCCACACGGCCATGGCCACAGGGCAACACCGAGCCACAGGCTCTTCCCATGAGCACCGCGCTACCACCTCACCCGGGACTCGCTGCCCCAGAATCCAAGACCTTGACACCACCTCACCCGAGACACGCTGTTACCCCAACCAAAGAGACGAGTGTAAAGGCCCCGCCTTTCGCACCCTTGGGTGGCCCCCAGCGTCGAGACCTAATAGACCGGCCAAAACTGGCCTCCATCGACCTGTCCTGCTGCATCGGGCGCTAGGTGAGACCGGTCCTGCTGCCGGGTGCGAGACGAGCTCGGTCCTGCTGCCGGGCGTGAGACGAGTTCTGTCCTGTAGCACCGGGCGCGAGATGAGCAATGGATCGCAACTGGGAGAGAGCCAACCCTTCGACGGAGGTAGCGACCAGACAACGACGAGAGGGATCGAAGGCCGACACAGGCCGCTCACCGATGGGCCGACGCCGGAGATGCCCAGCTGCCGCCGTGAAACGACCTAGACCACCGCCATGAGCCACCATCACGCCGTGGCAGCCCACATCCACGCCGGGACCCCGAGGGGCAGTACCGAGCTGCCCTGCAGCAGTTGCGGCGCGCCGCCGAAGATGTAGGCCACCTCCGCGCCGCCCGTCCGCGCCAGATCCCGATCCAGGAGCCGTCACCGCCACAAGCATGCCAGCCACCGCGCCCAGCCAACTCGGACCGGTGAAGCTACAGCGAGCCAAGGAGATCGCGCCGCGAGGACCAATGCCACCACCGGCTGAAGCGGCCAACCATCCCCGCCCGCTTACGCCCGCCATCCATCGCCGCCGGCCTGGATCTGCCGTCCAGGATGCGACCGCATTGGGGCACACCCCCGCAACAGATCCACACCACCACCACCATCCAACGCCGCCGCCAGAGCCCCGCGCCTCCGCTGCCGGAGGCCTTGCCGGCCTAATTCCCCCGCAAGGACGAGCTGCCCCGCGCCGCCCAGAGCACCCTGTGGGAGAGGGGGAAACGCCCTGCCGCCGCCAGCACCGCGCCGGCGGCGGCGGGGAGAGGAGGGAGGGAGGAGCCTAGGGGCGCCGCCGGCGGCGCAAGCTCTCCCGTGGCGCACGCGGGGTGCGTCGGGGGAGTTCTCTCTCAGTTTCGTTTTTTCTTCTCTAAGCTCATGTTGCTCAAACACAAGGAGCGACACTAGCTTGATAGCACATTTGGGCATGATTCACCACTTGGCACCAATCCTATATATGCAACCAAAACGTTTTCCTATTCCATGTATCCGTATGCACAAGTTTATCTTTTCATGCCCCACTTTTGCTTATAAGTTTTGATCTTTTCCTTGCTTAGAAGCTTTTTTTTCTCTTTGCCACTATTCTTATTGAGCCTCAACTAAATATGCATGGGAGTAAGCTTTCACACTATATGATGTACCAAATGATGTAACAATATGATATCGTATCACTATGGTGCTCAAGTTTTTGCGTAGCATGACAATACTTGGATAGCTAGCCTAACTCGTCAAACTTAACTTTTCACTTAGTTGGAGGTAACCGGCCTTGCTTCCGGTAGGTAGTCACGAAGGATGGATGATCATCGTCGCTTGCGGAAGCTTATGGTTGATGTAGTTGATGGAACGGTACACGGTGTCGTTGTTGAAGCAACCGTCCCTAAGTTGCCGAAACAACTTGGAGACTTAAATCACAACTCAACGACCACAAATGCAATGGGGATGAAAAAGGGTCAAAATTGCAGAAGTTATGGTGGTTTTGGTAGAGGGCCTAGGCGAAGATGCCAAAATTTGGAAATTTTGATGGACTCAAGTGGTGTGGGAACTAATTTTGGTGGATGGTGGATGTCAATAACTACAAAACAAGCTAAAGAACATCAAAATTGGAGTCCGGATGAATTAGTTAGGGCCAAAACAAATGGCAGCCGAAGTCGGTTTTCCAGGTAACGAATGTCTGGTCGTCTGAGAAGCACCGGATGTCCGGTAATGGCTAGATGTCCGGTTGATGGGACGCGATTTCTATACAGTCACCGGATTTCCTGTGGGGCTACCGGATGTCCGGTGGTTGATGTCTAGCACAGGATTTGGGCTCCGGATCGTGATTTTGGGGGCAAAATTGATGGGGGGAAAAGACAAATTGGGGCTAGAGAATGCCAAGGGAGGTAGATCCATTTGCCAAGCACTAGATCCACAGAAAGTAATCAACAAAAACTCGGTAGAACATCAAATCACAAGGAAAAATTGGAGCTATTTTTGTTGGAAATTTTTAGAAATTGGGCAAGAGAACTAAGGGTAGAAAGTGAGGGGTAAGGCTCCAAATTTGTGGCAACCTTGCTTTGATACCAAGATGATGTAGGGTAGAGATCCTATGTGGCCCAATCTTCATAAATTGGAGCTGGATTTGAGAAAACCCATGAAGAACACAAGGGAAATCACACAAATCAACACATAGATACAAATGAAGATACACATAGATAGATCCATGTTTCAAATCATCCAAGGAGTGAGATGGAACAAGATAGTTTTTCCCCAAGTCCTAGGATAAGGTGGGCTTGATGCTTTTATGAAGCCTTTCTTCTCCAAATGTGGAGGCCTTGTGTTCCAATGGAGTCTCTCTCTCAACAGGAATCTCACAAGGGGAGATACATGAGCTAGGCTCTATGATTTGGTTTCTATTCTTAAGGGGGAGGTCTATTTATAGTATAGGCCACAGAAGGGTAGGTGGGAGGGAGTATGAGGCCAAGTGGCCTGTCTTGCAAATTCGTTGATTTCCTCTTGGGTGTCCTGGCACCGGATTTCCGGTGGGTACTGATGGAGTCATGTACCTAGGGTAGGGTCACAGACCTGATCTAAGTACCCTGCCCAAGGACACCCTTAGAAGAGATCACCTTCCAGTCGACCTACGAGGGACTCACTCGACTGACTTGAAGGACTCGACCACGAAGACTCACTCGACCACCAGAAGGTCAAGAGGCACTCTGCACTGCAACGGTCTGTAATTGAGTAGACTTTATGATAGTAAAGACACTTTATGTGGGGCGTTACCAGTAACGCCCCGGACTTAATGTACCTTAAACCCTTCATTACGTGGGTTGGCTGGGGTCCTGACGCACTCTATATAAGCCACCCCCCTCCACAGGCAGAGGGGTTCGGCACCCTGTAATCCATATGCACATAATCCACTCGACCGCCTCCGGGCTCCGAGACGTAGGGCTTTTACTTCCACCGAGAAGGGCCTGAACTCGTACATCTCTTGTGTTTACAACCTCTCCATAGCTAGGACCTTGCCTCTCCATACCTACCCCCCACTCTACTGTCAGATTTAGATCCACGACAGGTACCGGATGTCCGGTTGGTTGGGAAGCACCAGATGTCTGGTACGCCATTGGATGTCCGGCCGCTGGAGCACGACTTAATCTTGGCTGCTCCTAGACGGTCCTCTTCATCAGGTTGTACCTCCGCAACTCCATCTTCCGTCTCCGCCTCCACGCTTCCTTCGCGGATGGTGTAGTTGTTCCTTTGTGCTTGCACTCCTCGTCATCCGTGAAGCTCCGATCAAATCTATACATGCACGATAGATTATTAAGTAGTATACCATCCAAGAAGGAATCAAGTGAACACGTATAAAGGAGATGATTCATCTTTATATGTATGAATTAGATGCCGCACGGTCACTTGGCAAAAGTGCTCTTAACATGGTGATGTTCTTAGGATGCTCCGCATCAAGTGTCCTACTAGGACCCGACTCCATACTCTGTCTATCCATGGTATGACTCCAAGTTTAACTATAACCTACCTTGTACACAATATTCAATACAACTCCAACAAGCACTTGGTACTCTGTTCAAGTCGAGCCTGCTTTCCTATGCAAGCAAGCTTTCCCTGTCCCATTGTGGTTAGGTAGTGTAGAAAAGCAAGCAATATTCTTTTGAATGGCGAGCATAGCACGGCAAATTTTGTTTTTTTTGCTCAATATCCAAGCATGCCATTTTTCATTAGTGAAGATTCTACTCCAACATCTGTATATTCTGTTTTTCAGTAAATTGTTTTCATTGAAATCGAACAAACATATGTATATTCACATCTACTTTTCGATATCTGCAGTTCTGCCCAGTTTGCCTTGCCAAACCCCGGGACATGGCATTTGGTTGTGGTCATCAGGTGAGACTATAACACTGGTAGGCCTAGACTGTGTAGCTAGACCGCATTTTCCCAGTTCTAAGTTTTTCTTTACATGCAGACTTGTTCAGGGTGTGGACCGCAGGTCGCGGACTGCCCCATCTGTCGAAGGCCAATTGATACAAGAGTAAAACTATACTAACAGCCTCACATGCCTAACTAGGTTTGACTGAAGTACGCTGGAGTGTTGGAAGTAGAATCCATGGAAAAGAAAAAGAACTCTGTTTGTACTGTAGCTTGTACCGTAAAGAAAATGAATAACAGTTGTGTACTGCTCTGTGTTATATGTCATCAGTTCAGTACCTAGAACGGGCACTACTGCAAAACTAGTAGCCAGTGGCAGGCAAAAATAACCAAGCCCCTATATCCGGGGAAGTTTTTGGTTTTACGTCTCCCACTTGTTTGACTGCAACGTTTGAGCGTACGGAGCCTCGACGCGTGTATTAGTTTGGGAGCTTGGGGGGTAAACATCGGTTGTGACGATAGGCTTTTCGTGAAAATTTTGTTAAGGCCCTCACCGATTCTGTTGGTGTGTCTAGCGAATTTTGGGGCGGGTGGGCCAGCCTGATCCGTTGACCTGGTTCTGCAAGATTCGTTCGGCGGTTCCTTGCATGCGTGGGCTTTCTCCTCTTTCTGGGCTGCACATCTCTCTGCGTGGCAGTTTCTTTACGATCCACCTGTGGTGGTGTTCGCGTTAGCGTCGTCGGTGCTGCTTTAGCGTGAATAATTGTTGCCGCTTTGATCGTGTAAGCAGAGGATGCTGGTGGTTCTGATCGGTGCCGCTTTCGTCTTTCTTATCTCTTATTCTTGATGTCTTTGCCCTCAACGATCGTGGTGGTTCTGGAAGACCCCGGTTGAATCCTCCACCACCATACGCATCTATAAAAAGCTCTCCTTTCTCTTCTCTGTGGTCAATGTCTCTCGCTTTCGATCCGTTCATTGCCTCGCAGGCGTTCGCCTGTGAAGGAAGAGGTGCATGGAGAAACATGAATGAGGCGGGTGTGCGCAGGGGTGACGGACTGGCAGAATTGCACCCTGTTGTGGGCAGCCCAATCTTCAAGGGCGTCTCGCCACCGGCGATGAGCAAGGAGGAGACAATGGCGTCACGGCCGTGTGCTCCGCGGCTCGCGCCAGGAAGTGCTTCCGGATCGTGTTGCCGCTTCCTTCCTTTCCGACATCCAGCGTGCGCGACGCGTTGGCGGCGAGGGTGGGTCTTCCTGGCGTCCTGATGCCCCTGGTGCCGGTGAGGATTGGGCTGCTAGTTCTAAGTCGTCGAGACGGAGAGGAAGCGGTACGGTGTTATGGTCTCGAGCGTGGCTAAGTGGCGGGGGACCGAGTGGAGCAGGAGCTGGCTGTGGTCGGGCGAGTTGGGCTGCTGAGGATGAGCAGGTGCAGGTGCTCGACAGAAATCAGGAGCTTGGCGGAATATTGTTCTGCTTTCCTAATCCCCACGTCTCGCATGCGACCAAGCTCTTCGCCCTTCTCTCCATGTAGCGGTGACAGAGCTATTTCCTTCCATGGTTAGGCGAGGGCGTGAGGCCAGCCAGGTCACGGCGGCACGCGGATGAGGGCATGAGGTGCGGCGGTGCTACTTGCCACTGTACGTTTCGTGTTTGTTTTTGTTTTCTTTTTCTGCCTCTCGTGAGTTATAAATAGGCCTTCTTTCCTGTTATGTGATTGTATTGCACTTGGTTCGTGGGCTTTGGTTTCTCGTTGTCGCATACATGCCCACGGCATCCGAGTCGTCCTCCTCGGCTACGTGGGGCTGTCGTCGGTTGTCGCGGTGTTTCGATTTGTCCTCCTGCTTCGCTCGGTGTATCTGGACGGCCTGTAGTTATGCCGGCTACTTCGATATGTGATGGTCGTTTATTGCGCCGAGGTGGCTGTTCCGTGCTGCTTGCAGGTTCTGAATTGATGGCGGATCCTCCGCCTCGGTCTCGTGGTGCGTATGCATGATCAGGTTTGTTTCTTGTATTATTCTTTCTTGTTCCCGTCTGTTTGCCGTGGGAGTTATTCTGTGTTTTAGGCGTTTTCTTGATTTGTTTGTCTAGGGTCTCTTTCTTTGGTGGCCGATCATCCTCCTAATGTTTCTTCTAGGCAGCGAAGGGAGGAGATTCGGTTGGGAAAGTGCCCTGTTGACTCACTCTTGGCTCCTCTCTCTCCTTTGCGCGAGGTCGCCGCGGCCGGCCGCCTTACCAGATACCACGCTGTCGACTGCCCCGTCTCCAGCGGCAACGTTGGCGCCGCGACCGCACGCTTGCCCTCCTTGCTGGCGGTGACGAGGCAGACGTCACCTGGCTCGCCCGCTCTTTACCATCTCGGTCGGCCTATCTACATGGGCCTACACTGCAACGGTCAGAGTAGTAAGGCCAACCAGATAACTGTGACAGGTTCGATGGTTGACCCGGCAGTCCTAGGTATTCACCGGCGTTGCTGGTTTCGACGTGCGGCTGTTCCTGGCAAGGCGGGGTCGCATGTCATGGACATCTTGGGAGACCCCGTGCATGGAGCCGTAGCTTCACGTCTGGGGGCGCCATGCAGTACATCATAAGGGGCCTCGGCATGGCGCTAGAGGGCAGTGACGACCAAAAGGAGGCCAGTGTGATGCCGTGGTCGACGCTTTACCCATGGATGTTCTCGGCCATCGTGGCATGGCGAAAACTTATAAACCACATGGTGTTCATGGTCACTAAGATACGGAAAGCTTGGCTTTTCTTTTCCGTCATTTTTGCAAAATGTAGGATTTGGAAGACTAAAGTAGGCTGGAACTAATGTACGTAAATTAGTTCAAAGTAGTGTTCTTTCGTCCTTATTTTAATAACTAGATAAAATCTAGATTGCTTCCACACGGGGTCTCATGAGATAAGCGAGACATGATAGTTTTGATCGGTCTCATGATTTGTGTTATTTCTCTAAAGAAGAGAAGTTCGAATCTAAGGGTAGTTGGGAGCTAATGAATTCCCTTTGTGCAAGAGTTCTGAAGGGTAGATATTTCCGGATACTGACTCCATGCATGCTACTGTTCCCAAGTGGCCCTCGACCACTTGGAGAGCGATTATTGCGGGAAGAGATGCTCTGAAGAATGGCTTGATCTCTCGTGTTGGAGATGGCAGCACCATTTCGGTCTTGACCGACAAGTGGATTCCAGGAACAATATCCATGACACCACTCCCGCGTCCGCCAAATACCACCATTGAGAGGGTGGCTGATCTTATTGACACGACCAACTGGTCTTGGCGGCAGGATATTGTCAGGGATAATTTTATTGCCCCAGATGCCGAGGCAAGGCGGGGGTGAGGACCTTCTAGCTTGGGCTTTTGAGAAATTTGGCAACTACACTGTGAAGACGGCGTACCATGCTTTCGTGACTCAGAAAGAGCGTTGACGCTTGAGGAAGGGACGGCTACTTGGACCTCAGGGAATGATCAACATACACTACTAGGGAAAAGCCTATACACAGAATCTTAGCAGCAGCGCGGCTCAAAAAGGAGCGCTGCTGCTAACTAGTAGTAGCGCGTGTGCGGGAAACTCGCTGCTGATAAGGATTTAGCAGTAGCGCGCTCGGCGTAAAACGCGTTGCTACAAATATCGACCGGCGGTGTTCACCTAACTCTAATTAGCAGTAGCGCGGTCGCGCGAACCGCGCTACTGATAAGGATGTAGTAGTAGCGCGCTTTTTCTGAGATTGCTGCTGCTAAATTTCAAATTGCCACACTTTTTTGTCCCAGTTAGCAGTAGCGCCGTATCCCAAAGCGCGTTGCTGCTAATTCCTTAGCAGCAGCGCGTTTTAGATCCGGCGCTACTGCTAACCCGCACCAACCCACCACCTTTCCCCACCCGTCCCTCCCCTCCCCCTCCTTTCTTTCCCTTCCCCCTACCTCCCCTCCCCCTCCTCTCTTCCCTTCCCCCTACCTCCCCCACATGCTCCCACTCTCACTCTTCTTCTTCCTCA